TTGTTTAGTTAAAGTCTTCCATCTTATCTATTTTCCTTTTCTTTTTTCACCCTTTAAGAAATTAAAAAAAAAGGAAAAATTAATTGAAAAATAATATGAAATTGATGAGATGATTTCAAAATAAATTAATTTTAGAATATAAAGATTAAATATGTAATTTTTAAAATGATTAGTAATTAACTTCATTAATGTGAAAGGAATAAGTTATAACTAACTATTTTCTCTTTGATATTAAGATAAGTTCATTTCACCTAAACTATCTTCAAATTCAAAACAACATCAATACTACACAGTCTCATCTATATCTTTAAATGTAATGGCTAAAGATAAAAAGGAATAAAGATAAGTGAGATAGTTAATATTTTGAATTCATCATTATAAAACAAAAATTCATTTATAAATTCCTCCCAAAATAACATGGGAAGTAAAAGTTTAAAAACAGTTTTATTTTATAGTATCAGAGTATATTGATTCATATTATGCACATTATTTCCTCCTCTCTCACTTGCTTCTTATATGATCTCATCTTTAATCATACACCTACTCATCTTACCCACCATATAACACTCAAACTTTTCGGTGATAATTATTTTCAGAGAAGGCTTAACTTTTACCTTATCTTAGTGTTGAAAGGCTTTTTGGGTTTGTTAATGGTAGTATACTTTTTCCTTTTAAAATACTACACGCAATCTCTATAAATATTCCTCTTCCTCTTCCAAACCTTGCCTTTGAATTTTGGAATGAGTAAGGGTAAATTATTTTGAGTATATTTCTCTCTTCTCTTTCCAAACTCATCCTCACCCATTTTGTTGGTCTTTAGACTTCTAGAGATATTTGGTTCACCTAAGAGAAAATATTCTCCACAACCTTATAGGCTTACCAAATGAAAACTATATGCCAGGTACACCTAAGAAGGGTTTGAATGTATAAAATTGCATACTCTCTCGAATTGTTTTAGTATTTCTCACTACATTTCTTATCTTTATATTCATGAACAAAATGACTTAGTGAAACGTAACCATCATCACTTGGTTGAAACGAAGCTCACTTTGCTTGCTACTAATGAATCATCATGTTTTATATATCTTTTGTCAATAACTTTAGACCTCTTAATATAGAAAAGACTCTACCGAAATTTTGGTTTGACCTATATAAAAAAATTACCTAAAAATTTTCAATATATCATGGAAAAAGATATAGGAAATGGGGGTTGTTATAAAACTACTCATTACATCTCACTTTTTACAACCTCTAATATTTAATAAATATTTATTTTTGTATTATAATTTTTTTTCAAGTGCTTTTTAAATTATTTTTTACTTAAAAAATATTAAATCAATGCTTTTTAAGTGTTTTTAAATGATTTTAATATGTTTGTATCAAAAATAATTTTTAAAAAAAATCATTTTAATATATTTTTAATTAAAAGAACTTTTTAAAAATATCTTATATCATAATACTAAACGCACTTGCCAAGCAACACCAATGAGTAGTATCACTCCTTTTTTTTATATTATTTAATTAAAGTTTTATTTAATTCTTTTCTTTTGATATCACTGAAATGAAATGAATATAAATTTTTAAACAGTTCGCATGTCATGCAATGTTATCAGGTGAAAAATACCTGAACATCTTGTTTTGGACCCACAGGCAACACAAAGCCCATAAGAAAGAAGCTGATGATCATGTTTCATCACGAGAGCCAGTCTGTGAAGTGGATGGCTCAAAGTGCCAAAAAGAAGGGTGAAAAGGTTAATAGGTAATGATTTTATTTTATTTTTACTAAAAGAAAAAAGCTAATTCTTTAGTATAAGATCAGTAAAAGTAAGATTTTCATAAATATTCTAATTTAAACTTGAAAATTCATCTTTCACCGAATCAAAGAGATGAACTTAGTTTTAATATACAAAAAACTCATTTAGAAATTTACTTAGCTATTAAAAAACAGAACAATAATAATTTTTCTGATACCCAACACTACTTGTGGATCTGCATTACATCGCAGAGTTAAATTATTTTTTTATATAAAAAATAATGTTCAGCTGCTAACATATTTTAAAGTTGAAAGAAATATTTATAAGTTATAAATTCAAATGAATTAAATATGTTGATTTTATTTTAATAATAATAATAATAATAATAATAATAATAATAGATGAACTAAATTAAAAATAATTATTACAATAACTAGAAATTTTTTTAACTAGGATAAAAAATATAGCTCAATTTTCAATCTATCAGATACAAAATGACAAACTTAATTAAATAAAAAACAAATCTATCCAATTCAACCATGACAAACATGTAACTCAAGTAATATAGGTTGAATAGACTTAGATTCACTTGTTAAATCCGTAATTCAAATCAAAAGATCAAGACAACTTGATAAAAAAAATTACAAAATTTTAGTTTTTATTAAAAAAATTAAATTTGAATCATGAAAGTTGAAAAAGAAAATATGTAAAAACATTATTAATTTATGTTAATTTTTCAAATTCATAATCTAGGTTACTAGAACAGAAATACTCATGTAAAAAAACTATAAAATTCAATTATCAACTACTCAATTGTTAAAGCCTGAAGTTGGAAAAATAATTTCAATTATATAAAACGATCCAAAACAAAAAAATCAAAATTAAAACATTAAAATCAAAATAAAATTTTATTTTTTTATTAAAGGGTCAAATAAAAAAGAAAAGTTAATTTAACAAAAGAAAAAAATAGGATCAAAATTAAAATAAAAACAAATGTTTGATTGAATGATGAAATTAAAAGAGAAATCAATTTAACAAAAGAACTAATAAAATAAAATAATTAAAATAATAAAGATAAAAATATAACATATCACAAATTATAACGAATGATGAAATTAAAATTTTATAAAAAAATAAAATCAAAATAAAAAATAAAAAAATTAAATTTAAAATTAAATTTAACATCTCAAAAAATCAAATAACAACTTTAAAATTTTACATGACTAGCTCGATTCTTCAAAGAAGCAAAGAGAAAAGTAGGAAAAGAAAAAAAATTATTAACAACAAATATAAATATAAAAAAATATTATAGTAATTTATAATATAGAAGGTAAATTATATTATTTTCTTCTCCTACTATTATTTAATTTTTGTTATTTTTTTATTTTTTAAAAAAATTATAATATTTTTTAATATTATTAAAAAAATATCATATTCATGAAGTATGGTAATACAAGTTATCTTAATAAACTTACAAACTATACTAACATATAAAAAAATAAAAAATATATAGAATTTAATTGTCAATCATAATAATATTTAAAAAAATCATAATAAAACAAGGACCATATATAAAAGGATACTATAACAATCAATAATACATTACATATTGAAAAGGAAAACCACAGTAATTTCCTCTCCTCGTATCTTATCGTCAACGCTGCTGGTTTGGAAAAAACAAACACTCTTGGAATTCGTGGCCAGTGGATAATCGCGCGACACGATTTGGTCTTCTGTATTAAAGCACACAATGGTGCGGGGCCCGCGGGGAGTGGGCACTGTCTTTTTCTGAATGGAAAAAACAAATCGCGCGACCTCGCAGGGTGATCGCGCGATGTCTTGAGGTGAGCTGTCGCATTTGAGCGATACCCCAAAGCGCGAGGCTTGTGGGGGACCGCACTGTCGGCATCATTACACGCCAGCTAGCAATTTACAAAAGGAGCCTGCAATAAAATAAAATTTCATGAACGGGTATGGCTGTATCCGAAGCAGAGGCAAAAATCGGTCCATTTATGGAAAACTTGATATTTATTGACTTGGACTCGGTAACCTGCACAATGAGAGGAGAGATGGGAGTAGCCGCTTAGAAGCTGCCGAGGAAAAAAGGGGGACCCAATAGCAAGGCCCGTTGGAAAGAATAAATAAAGTGTTTCCAGCTGGAGAAATACGAACTAATTTAAAGTTGGATACATTAATCCTTCTAGTTTTGAGAAATGAATTAATCAGGCCTTCTTTTTTCAAAAACCAATTCTATAATCATTTTTTTTCCATTTTATGTTCTTCTTCAATTCATTTAAAAAAAGAGAGTAAATAAATAGATAGACATTACAGAAGAATTATGAGAGAAGAAGATTCTTTTCTGAGATAAAATAATACTGATTAAATGAATAAATAAATAGATATTTTGAAAGGGGGGCTAATTAATTTATCTCTCATAACTAGCAAGACTAATTTATAATTCGTTATTAAAAAAGTATTACAAGTTGAAAGAAATTGATCGTATAATATCTGAAAGTGCATGGTTGAACTGCTAGATGGTTTTCCCTCGTTGTTTTTTGTACTTGTAGGAAGTTAGCAGTCCCACCATAGGTTTGGTTGTTTTTTTTATTTTTTTTCCCACTCCTCTCCATCCTGGACTGTAATGGGTAGCTATTTTCCTATCATAGTTTTTCCCTCACAACTCCACTTGATTTTTTCAATTAAAATATAGTTTACATATTTTTTTCCCGTGGCTTAAATTATGTTTATTTTTTAAAAAATAATTTTTTAAAAAATAATTTTTAAATATTTTATATTTGTTTGTTATTTAAAAAGTTAGTAAATGAAAATATTTTTTAGTTAAAGAAAAAATTAATTTGTTTTTCTAGAAAAATATTTTTCTAAAAAATTTGAACAAAGATTACTTTTTAGAAGTTATAAAAAATTTAAAAATATCATACTATTTGCTGATTATATCAAATTTAATCCTCAAACTTTTAATTATTATATATATTTTATTTTGAATATTTATTGCTCAATTTTATCTTTTAAAAATAATTTTTATATTAACTTTAATTCTTGTTTTTATAATTATTTTTTTTTCTTATTATTTTTTATTAAAATTTTTTATTTATCAAATTTAATTCTTGTTCTTTTAATTATTACTTATTTTATTTAATATAATTCATAAAATATTAATTATTATTATTTTAATTTCTTCAACTTTTAATATTAACCCATTAAAACAAATAAAAAAATTTAAAAAATCCTTAAAACACAAAGTCAGTGTTTATGAACTGACAGTTCAAAAACAAAATAATAAAAATTAACTCAAGTGAAACGGGACGCGTCACTGTTCCCACCGCCTTACTCCATAGATCTATAACATCTTTGACGGCGTCTGCAGTACAAGGCACGGAGCATTCCCTCAACGAACATGGTGTTTCGATTTTTATATCTTGAAATGTTTGAAACCAGAGACCCATGTGTGTGTCTTAGAGAGGGGAAAATATCCTTGAGGTCTCTCTGTCCTCTCTCGAATTCAAGCTCGCCCATCTCAGGTATGACTCATGATTGAGAGGATATATTCGCTTCCACTTTTAACAAATCTAACCCGTAGAGATATCTCAGTGCTTGTAAATATCAAGAAAAGGAGAAACTCTACCTTTGTTCTCGATTCTTCATGTTTCTCTTGGTTGGCTTTTGTAGCGGATCATAGGGCAGAAATAGTGGATTAAGCGAAGGCAAGGGGCTGAGGTTGTAGAATCTGCGAGGGTCTGAGAGGGAGCAGAAAGAGGTCCATCTCACCGCCGACCTTGCCGTTGTGTCAGTACAAGATCATGTTTCTTCTTCTTGTGTTTTTTTCCGCCTAACCATTCAAGTTTTTTCTTAAGCTGGGATTCGGTGAGAGATGAAAAAACGTCAGGGAGTAGGATATTACCATGGCTCTAGTAAATTGAATCCCAATTTCGTTGGCCGGTAAAAAAGTATGATTAAAAACATTCGCTCGCATGCAACAATGAGAATATACAAAATGCAGTCTCTGGAAAATCCGTCGAAGATGGTATGGAACATGGTAGCGTCAATTAAGAAAAACATCCCCCGTGTCAATAGATTTCTGGCCTTATGCTAGAGATCATCCACCGTATGGCCGGTCGTCGTAAACTTTTAAGGTGGCCGGTGGAGTCTTTAAGAGTTATTAAGCACAAAATATATTAAAAAACAAGAGTGTATATGACGTATGTTTAAGACGTGGGGGCTGCTTATAGAGAGATAGCGGGTAAATATTAACATTTTTTTATAATATAAAAAAGTACAAAAAAAATAGAGAATATTTTAAATGATTTAAATATGATAATCATGTTAGATTTAAATATTTTGGGTTGTTTAGGTAGTAATTATATTAGACTTAAGTATATAATAAAAGTAAAAAAATAATTATGTATCGTAGTTATGAAAAAAAACGTGAATAATCTATTATTAATAGTAACTCGAGCATATGGAAGAAAGTATAGCTGCATATTTAATTAGATAGTAAATAACCGGATTTAATCACCGAGAACTATTTGACACAATTGTAGCTTATTTATTAAAATATGTGAAACATATATCAATAATTTTTTAATTAAAAAATAATAAATATAATATTAAAATATTACTTATGATCCTCTTAATTATGTAACATACTCATATAATTTTATTATTATAATTCATAATAATCTCAATTTTGTAAAGAGAATTACATTAAAATCCCGATGACAATTTGATATTTTTATAATAGAAACATCTTAAAATATTTGAGAAGCAACGCCTAGTTACAGTTCCGCCAATGAAATCGATGGTCAGAGGAGAATTAACATGATATATCAAGCTAGGATTTATTCATTTTCATGTGTTGGATTTTGGATTCACAATCAACCAAAAGATTGATACGATCTGATATAATTAAATTAATTTCAAGTAGTCACGAAATCCGCTGGTATAAATCTTATCTCTCATGTTAATGTATAAGAGATTGCTTGCGTTAATAATAAAATTTAAAGAATAAATAATTGACTTTTAATATTAACAAAACTTAATCAAAACTAAAATGTATTAATTTATATAATTTTTTTTATTTTAATCTAAATAAAGATGTATTGTATGAATGACATGTATATTAAGACCTTTTTTATATTAATTATAAATTTGATATAGGTAATCAAATAAGTAATTAATTTATAAATATGTAATATAATTAGAAGATACTAACCAGCGGTGATAACAATATTATGATTTTTTTTTTTGTCAGAAAAGTCATCTACAATAATGGGAGCAATCGCGCGATCGGCTGAGCAGCGAACAACTTTCTGCACGATCATCGCGCGATGTTAAAAAAAATCAAATATAAGCATGTAGTTGGACTTCTTTTTCATTTTATTTCTAGCGTCGGGAGTGAGGGGCCCCAGAGGAAAAATAGTCGTTGTCACGTTCCTCCTCGGATAAGTGGCGGATGTTGCCTTTCCTATAAAATCCACTACACTCTTCCTGCTGGAGGAAGGAAAAGCAAGCTTACATGATACAGACCCAAAACAAAATTAAAAAAAAGGTCATCATCCTACCTGCGCCTAAGATGAAGAGCAACATGGGTACAAAACGAGTTGCGCAGAGGCCATCCCTCGGAGCTCTTCAAAGGAGGAGTCTGGTATATATACATGCTCACTATACTAGCTAGAAATGCCGTTGCATTGTCATTCCTTCTATCGTTGTTAATTGTTTTACTTGTCTTCCTTTTGCTTATATAGCCGGAGACTGTTTTTTCTTTCCACCTTTTTGTACTGTTTGAAATTCTAACGTATGTAATTTATTAACAATGTAATCAGAAACGGAATAAAAGTGACAAAAAACTAAGTAGGAGCATCAAAAAGATAAGAGCTGACATGGTTGAGATTAGCGAGGGTCAAAAACGCATAAGGGAGGGTCAAATGGAAGTAAGGGAAAAATTCCAGGAAATAAGTAAAGAGGCTGCCAAACTTAAAGAGGAAACTATTCAAATCTCCAAGCAGAGTGCTGCAAATCAACTCAGGCTTGATCTCATGTTTCAGATCGTAAAGGCAAGAGCAGAGAATGATTTTGCCAAGGATGGTTTACTCACCCAAACCTTACGGTTTGTGATCCTATCAACAATATCTTTGTAGCTTCAACTTAATTTTATTACCGGTCATCACGATACACTTGAATAAAATTATAGAAGATGAAGACTTGAGCTGCAGTTATCTGCATGTTAATGGAATTTGAAGCGTATGCTATGATTAATTAACGTTGTCCTTTGTTTTATATTGTGTTTCAGGGATCTAATGGCAAAGCAGAACGTGAGCAAAAGCCAGGGTGTCTAGGAAGAACAATGATCAACATTGCATCTTAATGTTGCGTGTACTCTGTTGTTTACCCATGTAATGTACCGTAGTTTTAATATATTTGTAATGGACGATGACTGCAAGGTTTTCTAAGGCTACAGAGATAAAGATGGTTCGGCTTGCCCAGCATGTATAAAATAAAATAATTCTCATCCAAGGTTTTTTGTTTTTTTAATAATAAGGGTGGTGTCGTATTTCTAAATAATACTCTACAATTTTATTTCAATAAATTAAATGTTCATTGAACTTTTCCCATCAAAATATTCTCATTCTAACATTTATTGATTATAATTAACTAAATAAAACAGATGGTTTGTGATGCATGGGATTTTTCTTTTTTTATCATGCAAGTTTTATATTATTGAGCATGAATTATGATTCAAATCAATATTAAAATTTTTTTAAAAATTTTTAAAATTTTTATTTCATATAAGATTAAAATTTCAATGCAATTGTAGATGGAGAATGCTTTTTGAATGTTTAGAAATTATTGATTAATTTATAATTTTTTAATACATATTTGGTTTAGAATTTTTATTGCTTTGGCTTTATTTTTAGTTTTCTTGTCCAATTAGGCAAGTTTTTAGGTTTATTTAAGAAGTTATAAATCTTCTAAAAAAATATTAAATAATAAAGTTTTTAGGTACTTTGAAATTAATATAAATAGCTCCTTTTGGCTTCCCAAGGAAGCCTAGTGCAACCACTATATTACTAAAAAAGAAAGGAGATTTTTTCTAATCTTTTTAAAAATCCTTCCAAAAATCACGTGAAAATAATTAAATTAAAGAATTAAAAGGTTGTTTATATAATTTGAGGGAATTTAAAGCTTAGGGGAAGGAGATGAATTGGGATGAAGGAAAGGAGGAGAATAAATCAAACTTTTCCTCTTATTTTTTCTTCTTGATTACTTCACATAGGTAACGACTCTTGCTTTTGGATCAATTAAAATATTTTATTGATTTTTTTAAGTTGTAAGGCATGAAATGTGTACGAAGAAAATGAGGGTTTATGAGATTGGTTGCTTGAATTATTAATTTTATCCTAGAATTATGACAATGAGAACATTTAAATTATGAAACAAATATAGAATTAAGACAATCAAGGAAAAATATCACCCCTCCTTTTCATGCTAAGGGTCACTAAAATGCTAAGGGTCACTAAAAGGGGATAATTTCTTCAAATTATCTTGTATGCATGATGTTAAAGATTATGTTAATACCTAATTATGATGAATTGAAACAAAACAATTGAAGAAAGAAGAACAAGGAATCCATAGTTTATTTAAAGATATATTTTAGCCTTGGGCCATTAGAAAAAAATGGTGGGGTTGGTTTTTAATCCTATGTATTACTGTGTTAAATTATGTGAATGGTGAATAATTATAATGGGTTAGATATGTGTGAATTGAGGGAGCACTCTTGGATTCCTAAGTGAAGGTTCGGTAAATTTATTCTTAATAAGGGAGAACAAAATGATAAAACTGTGCATGTGGTTAACATGGAAATATATTCTTAGAAATAAATTGTCATACATGTGAAATATTATATATGTATAAAGTAACTGAAAATGTGTTTCTTTTGGATATTGCTCCAACCAAACCTTAAGACATTGGAGGATCACAATCCTGCCAGACAAGTAAGTATTCTAATCTTATATTTAAAATTAAAATAAACAAAGATAAATAAATTATATTTGAATTTGTACGGGTATCTTTCAAGAAAGTGTTATAGACATAGACTTGATTAGTCATTCTAAGATTATAATGGTTATCGTGGTGTGTGGTGGTGTGTGCAGAGTCAAATGACAAATCTATCTCATAAGATGTGTGTTGAAAAAGGAGTTTAAGATATAATCATAAAGTTATGATTATAAAGTTCAAGAGTTGCTATCTAGTATTATGGTTATTAGTAAATTTATAGTTTGTGAGAGACTAGTTAAGTAAAGGAAAAATACATCATCCTCAGTGCACCCTATCTAAGGTAAGTCGTACTGTTATTTGATTATTCTTTAAGTCGTGTTTATATCCATTGGTCTTGTCTAAGATTTAAGACAAATCTATGTTTATGAGAAAATTTTTACCTTATTGGGTTAAATCTTGATGATTCTAAAATCTAAATTTTAGTATCACATTTATTTCATAAATATAATTAATTCATAACGTTCCGAATAACAAAATAATGGCTATGAGGGATTTTTTGTATTTTTACAAAACCCTAAAGGATAATCATAAATTGATTACAATATTTATTTTGCATTTTCAAAAGATGATAAAAATGAGATTTTATCCTTTTTTGAAAATATGGATGAAAAACTTTTAGGATTTGGCCATATGTATGAAAATAAAATATATTTTTTGTGTTTTTTAAAATGAGAAAATTTAATTTTTTTTGGATTTTTTTTAAGTTTTAGAGAAAACAAAATATTTTTTTATTATGGAATCCTTATCTTATATTATAAGTCTACATTTTGAAAACATAGATGAAAAAATTTTAAGATTTTGCTGCATGTATGAAAACAAAATATATTTTGTGTTTTTTAAAATGAAATTTAACTTTTTTTGGATTTTTTAAAGTTCCAGAGAAAATCAAATATTTTTTTATTATGAGATCCTTATCTTACATTATAAGTCTACAACTCGATATTATACAAAATTATTGAAAAAACATACGAGAGACCCATAAATATTTTTTAAAATACCATTTGAAAAATTCATTTTTTTAATATATTATTATTATTATTATTAAATATATTAGGCTGAGTTGAAAAAAGTTCAACCCGACTTTGTCGAGTTGGGCTGATAGTCGACCCAACATCCTCTCTCTCTTTCTCTCTCTCTCTCACTCTCATTATCTTTAGGCCGGACCCAACTTAGCTATCTAGGATAGGTTGAAATGGATCCAGCCTAGACCGAGATGGTCATTAGCCTAACTTAATGACTATGTTAATTATTTTGCTTTCTATGCAATGACTGGTATTGTGGCAGGGAGGAGAAGAGAAGTTACCTGATGCAGGGGAAGTAGCTGGTTGGTTGTGTCGGGAGGGTGATATGAGGTTGGTGGCGACGTTGATGAAGGAGTTGGCGGTTGGTGTTAGTTGCTTGAGGGGAAGTAGCTGGCTGGTTGTGTCGGGAGGGTGATATGAGGGTGGTGGCGACGTTGATGAAGGAGTTGGCGGTTGGTGTTAGTTGCTTGGGGAGAAAAAACTTGTAGTGAAAAGGAAAAGGAAAAGATTAATGGTGATGGTTTTTATAGCTAGCAAGGAAATGTGGTTGCAAGGATGTCAGGTTGTTGTTGCTAGTGCATAGGTGAAGTGAATGCAATTGAAGTGGAGGAAAAGAGGAAAGGTTGGTTAATGAAAAAAAACAGTGGTAGGGTTTTTTTTTTTTTCAACTTTGAACGTTGATTTTTTTTTTGTTTAATGTTTGGAATCCACCCTTTATTGTAATTTATTTTTTAGAATAATTCTGTATTTTTATACTTGTTGTTTTTTTTAAATTGTTTTTGTCTATCAGTTTGTTTATTATATATGTTTCTTGGTAAATCAATTTTTTTTAAATACATTAAAAAATGAAAAAAAAAAGTGATAGGAAGAGAGTTCCAGTTTTGATTGGATGCATAGCTATAAACTTTAGAGATCAAAGTACACTCACGGTATTTGTGTGTTTGCTCGTAGATGCCTATCTTCTCCTTATCCGGACCAAAAATGTCTATTGTACCTTATTTATAAGACAAGGTGACCTTCTTTACAGTAGACTAGAAGTACTTGGAGACATTCTTACTTTTTTTATGCCAATGTTGGTGACTGGAGATAAACTCTCTTCAATTATTCCTGGGATGGGAGTGAGTAGGTCTTGCTTCATATTTGCTAATTCATTTCTGTGCTGCTGATTCTACATGCATGCAGGATGGAGATGATGCATGTTTAACGGAGAACTCGTAATATGTTGCTCTTCCTTGTCCTTGGATTTTGCCTTTCTTAGGTTTATCTACGTTGAAGAGATTATCAGAGATATTTGTGTACTATTCCCATTTAAATAAATATAGTATTCATAGATGACTATTATGATATATAGATACCTCGCTGCTGTCTGAGTGGTTGAATAACTATGAGAATTGCCTTATGATTCTTTTTTTTTTTTTTTTTTTTTTTGTTACGGTGTTATTATTATTCTTGGCTTCGGCCTTTCCTGACCCTGCTGGCTCTAGGACAATCGGCCTTGGTTATTTTAGTCACTTGTCGCGGACCCGCCGAGAAATGTAGTTTTTTAATGCAAGTCTTCGCCAATCATTTTAACTATGAGAATTGCCTTATGATTCCTCGTTTTTTTTTTTTTGGTTACAGTGTTACTATTATTCTTGGCTTCGGCCTTTCCTGACCCTGCTGGCTCTAGGACAATCGGCCTTGGTTATTTTAGTCACTTGTCGCGGACCCGCCGAGAAATGTAGTTTTTTAATGCAAGTCGTCGCCAATCATTTCCTCATGCCAGACAGAGTCTTCGTCAATTTAATTATTATATGATCCTCATGCCAGACAGAGTCTTCGTCAATTAATATTTTGTTTTTTGTATCTTGCTGTTTGTATCGTTTACTTACGAAGTCTTCGTCAATTTAATTATTATATGGAGTCTTCGTCAATAATTCTTTAATCAGAATACCTACATATGATATATCAGGAATATGTCTTGATGTCTTGCTATATTTCTTATTGTTGAGTGTCGATACAACATATGTAAACTAGAATGCTGATAATACTCAAGAGGCCGGCCTGATAGGAGCTCATTCCGAGAGCGTTCTATCGATGATATCTGTAAGTCGTAATATTCCAGCTCTTTTGATTTCTCTGGAAAAAGGAGGAGAAATACACACACACACACCCTGTTTTCTAAGCTAACCTCCGTCGGTCGTTATTGTTCCCAACATAGATTCTTGGAAACAAAGGATGCAACTCTTGGCAGGGGAAGGCGCAAATGTCATTTTTTATGACATGGTGTAGCAAGCTAAGAGAAGAAACAACATATGGACGCGAGTTTGTGATTTTAGAAAATGGAAACAAGATAGATAGCTCAAAACGAGCTCTTACTCCGATGATATACAGTGAAAGTGAGAGGTACAACTCTAATCCAATATGTACATACAGGTAGTGTAATCTTCTAAATCAAAGATTAGAGTACCATCACACCACTCTCTCCTCCTCCTCCTTCTTCCTTTTATATATATAACAACAATAATAATAATCAAGACCCGGTGTCAAAAATACTTGTTTAAATAGGAAAAAGAAGAAGTTATGATTGTGTACATAGATAGAGAGAGAGAGAAGCTCGATGCTAAATTAAAAAAAAAACTGAAAAAAAAAACTCATAAAAATCTAGTTTTTTCATTGTAAGAGGAAAATGTCTTCGGATCTCTATATAGATACAGGTTTGTACAAAAAAAAAATCTTGTTTGTAAATCTTGACAAAAAAGTCAATCTCTGAAAAATAAAATTAAAAACATTATTTCATTCTGGATTTTTATCTTGAAATATCATATTATTTTTAATCAATTTATTAAAAAAATTTATAAAACAATAATAAAATTATCGATAGCTGAAAACTCCCCGTCACTAAATAATTTTGCTGTAACAAGACATGATAAATTGAGTTTGGCATGCATCACGGAATCCCAAGCCAATTCATAAATGTACTTAATTTACGCTTCTTTTTTTTTTTTTGAGTGCGCAAGAACGCCACAACGATTACTACCTACCAAGATCGTGCCCTAGAATGGATCCGACAACCAACCTTAAGCACAACCTCTTCTGTAGATAATTTGATTGCTTTCATTTCTTTCAAGTTTTTTCCTCCAACTTTAATTTAGTATGAGCTGCGAAATTTATTGGTATAACCCATTTATTGACATAACCCATCATTTCATCTAGGTATTGTCAAACTTTCTCCTTTTCACCTATATATATGTCAATAATTTTTCAATTTTAATGTGTTAATCGATTTTTGATAAAATCATCTAGTGAGTAATTACTATCTCATTCACAGTCAATGATATCGGATATAAAAAATAAAAATGGATTGAAATTAATTATACATGTGAAATTACTATCTATTAAGTAAATACTATCTCATAATCATCGCCAACTTGTAAGATCCACTAATTTAAACATTTAATTTTAATGCATTCTTATTTTCATGTCAGATACTATTCATAATTAATTAAACATTTGTTACTTAGTAGAATATTTTGACAAAATCAAATAATGTTTATACCAAATTGAGAAATTATTCACACAAATATAAAATGGAAAAATTCTAACAATCATGCGGGTGTGGGTGAAATGATGATTTAGGCCGAATCTTTACCCGTCAAACTTAGACCTTAGGCAGTTAAAGTTTTTGCCGGCAGACAATGATTCCCTATTTCCTCTGGTTTTTTCCCCTCTCATAAACCCATATACACAGAATATAGGCATAGTTCATAAATACAAAAAAAAGAAAAGAAGAAGAAGAAGTGTTAATAACTGCTAAAGCGGATAGGATATTCAAAAACAATAAGCCTACAAGACTGCAAGCACCAAAATGTTTGCTAACTGGGAAACATTTCAGGATTATTCCGAAGGATATTGCTTTAATTTATATATAAAGAAGTTTGATGGTTGGATTATTTGAAGCATATTGAATTCCATGCAAATCCTATCATTATTGACAAGCAAAAGTACACAAAGTCTGTGTGTGTGTGTCTATATATATATATATAGCTCTTTAACGATTGAAGCATTGCTTAGTCGACGGTTAGACCTCAAGTTAATATTCCACTCATTTTCTTGAGCCTTTATTTCTTAAACGGAGCCATGAGGATATTTGTTTTGCGTTTTTAAAAAAATATTTTTTTTATATCTTTATATTATTTTAATATATTATATTTAAAAAATTAAAAAATTAAAAATATTATCTTAAAATATTAGCTCTGTGACATAAGCATAGAAGAGTGACCTCACGAACTAAAAAAGTACATTATTTCGACGGCTCAAAATAAAACACGATAGAATAGCCCACCATAAAAATCTGGCCATGAATGGGAGAACGCCACTTGGATTCATTTTCCTGGACAACGTTGCTATCAAATCAGAAACAACCAATCATATTCAACCACAAATTATGAAAATATTTGCTTCGATTAAAATAATATTATTGTATTCCATTTTTCTGGAAAGCAACTTTGTAGCAGCGCGATGTCGCTTGCTTTCGGGCGATTGCTCTTGCTTTCGGGCGATTGACAAATTTTATCACACTTGTGCTTTGTATAAATTTAACCTTCTAAGCTCTTAAGTTGGGTCAGTCAGCTTTACGAGCATCGTTAAGCCGCTTTACTATTCCGGTATTCTCTAACCTTTCTGCATATACATTTGGTTCTGATCAAACAAAAAAAGAAAATTTTCTTTTCGTTTTATGAACGTAAAATAAAATTTTAGAGTCTCATCAGTCTTATTTCCACTATTCTGCAGATCATAGTGACGAATGGATTCTGATATGTACTGCTTTGATTTCTCTGATGCTGAGAGTAAGTTCAGTTGATTGGATCTTCTATCATATGTGGGAGAATATATAATATATACCTTCCTTATAAGCCATATTTTGAAGAATCTGGCCGGGATATCCTTTATCTTAAGTAAACCCACTTTGTTCATTTTCTCATCGTATATATTATATATGTTTTTTCGTTTCTTTTTCATTTAGTTCTTTTCATTTCATGTTTCAGAGAAGTGAGAGAGATCCCAAAAGAGAAAAAAACCACAATTTCCCTGCTTTTTTGTTCTAAGAAACAGAAAACCTATTAAATTATACTGGCTGGAGTTAAATCAAGTGAGATTTAGGGTTTAAGGATTTCTCCACACCCCCCCCCCCCAAAAAAAGGTGGCTTGTATGATTTTGACCTTCCAATCTCTGATAATCTAATCTAATCTAATATGTACTCGCTTTTCTAAGAAAATTAACTTCTTTTTTTGCAGTAACACCCTCCACTGGCAACGTCCACGAGGAGAACCCATCGATGAATCCGCTGTTTCGTAGCCAGGTGGCTGTGCCAGGAAGTATGAGTGTTAATGCATTACAATCATAAGCTAACGACTCGACCTACTGTTTATATATGTGTGTGTAACTTTAAAAAAGTTCTGAAAGCATGCGTTAATTGAATTTGTTCATCAAACTTTGTACGTAGTTGGAGAAAACATGTATGGTATTGGGACTGGTAGCCATGAACTGAAATACGGATTGGCAGATCACCAACGACACCAACAGCAGACAGAAATACCAAACCAATGTAGGGATCTTCACATGTTTGATATCTGAAATACGTACTGCTTATGACCTGGAGCTTTATCTAGTTTTTATTTTATTTTTATGTTTCTCTAAAAACTCATATATATATATATATATATATATATATATAACTGTTGCTCTTAACTGTGGGTTTTGTTTCTCACAAATTTGAAACGCAGCCAGACAAATCGACTCCAATAGAAGCTATGGATTTTGAACATTACAAGTGTCTAAGTCATGTAGGGAGTGTCTTTAAAATCATCTATAGAAAATAATTTGTCTAATTGATGAAGAACTTGGTTTGATATGATTGTCGAAAAAAAAGAAGAGATGAAATTTAGATCACCATTTACCTTTGGGCTTGTAGTTTAGCGATACTAAAGGTCAGCTTTCACGTTTGAATGTCACTTTTATCATAATTAAACTCTAATTAAATTGGAACAAATTCGTTAATACACACACACACACACACACACGTATGCAATAGATCCATCATATCGCAGGCTGACTGGAAAATAGGATTTAGTCTTGCGAGAATTTATTACTTTACATTTCTTCAGCAAATTCTAATCTCCATGGTTTTTTTTTTTTAAGTTTTTTTCTTTGTTCTAAATTTTTTAAACTTAAAGAAACATGATCATGTTGGAAACCGCAGGGATGGTGATTATGAACAACATGTCAGTGAATAATCAAGCAGCCCTAGAACAACCAGCTGGAAGTTCTCGATCTTCAAAGGATCCTAAAAAGTTGGCTAGACAACGTAGTGACCTGAAATATCGTGAAAAAAAGAAGGTGATGTTATACCAATTATCTGTCTGTAACTCTGTATTCCTATGAGTTTCTTTTGTTGTCTCTTCTAATTTGTTTATTCTCTTCTATCATTTATTTTCCAGCAAGAGACGAAAGACCTCAAGAGAAAGGTGGATGTGCTGATGGAAAGAAACGACCATCTGGAGAAAGAAAATGCCTACTTGAAGAAGGAGGGAGATCGGATGGAAAGGGCTTTGAAACAAGGCAAAAGAGATGTTCACCAATTGAAGGGCAAGCACGACGGTCTATCTACTACTGTAACGGAGATTTCCAGGGCACTGGTGAGCTTTCTATCTTTCCACTTCATCGAACCAGTCAGCGTTATTTCATGAAAGCACTGCTTACGCATGAACCAATCTCAATCAAAATACTAAAGTTCTTGTTGAAAATAATCTACATTTCTTGTTTCTTTAAAAGCACAAAAATGTGACACTAATTATTTCTGAAAATCTTAACAGCAAAACAAAAATACCTCTTAAAGTCATTCAGCATCACTCTTATTACTTGTTTAATTTTATTATCCTATTTCATTTGGGTTTTCATTCTAGGTTATCACCACATGGTAGTTTTTTTATGAGATCTTGTTTTAGGTGTTAAGCTTTTCTAAATTCTGCTGTCACAATGAATTTATTAGCTGACGCCAATTCACTAAAATTGACCTCATAGCATGTGGCTTGTGCAGAAAATACATATGATCTGGCAATCTCTATGAATTGCTTTTGATGGCTGCAAAACTCGTGCAGCACTAGCAATATACAATAATTTTGCATTATCATTGCTTGCTCTTAGAAGAATTCAATGGAAATGGCCTATACATCGATATCTTTCATTTTTCTCAGGAGGTTTTACATTCGAATGCCTCTTTTATAGTAATACTAATAATAAGAAAATCTCTCAGTATTAGTAGAAGTATAGTTTGAATATTGATTATTTGTATTATTTTATTTATTTATTGCCCCTCAATCTCTTTTGCTTTCATGCAGGCTGAGTCGAAATATAATATGGAGATCCAACGTGAAAATGAACTGCTCAAATGTAAGATTAATTTGCTGGCTAAACAAATGAAGAATCCTGACAGGTTAGATACAATCAAGCTTCAGGCAAGAATCGCACAACTAGAGGGTGAAAATAGCGCACGCCAGCTAGTAATCGATGCTCTATGCGCAAAGATGAAAAAGGACACGGATGATGAACCATAAATGAGAATGATAAGGTACCCATTTGATGTTGCTGAATAATAATCATCTAAATTCATGCCTGGATGTTATTTTTGTAGAGTAATAATGTTATACAAACTAATTTTTCATACAATTCATATTTTAAGTATTTCTAAGTTGACGCATCTATTTATATGAAATTTAATATAAAAGGTCTATTTATAAATCATTTTCCCTTTTTTTCAACGTGATTTTTGTATTAAATCTTGTTTAATTAATTGCACCGCAATTATTATAATTAAGAATTATAATTTAAGAAAAAAAGATAGTTTGTTTTTTAAGAGAAATATACTATTTATTTTATAAAAAAAATTAGTTTAAAACGATTATAAAATAACAGTCACTTGTATATGCGTATATAGTATAGCTTATTTTGTTGCTTTATAGATGTGAATTATGATCTTTGTGTCGTCAAATACCTATATTAAGTTAATTTGAAGCAATAAATTGACCCATACATGATCCCCTGTGGACAGACATGGGTTATGTCCAGGGATGGGATTAAAGGTATGATAACCCAATCCTTGTATAACATCAATAAAAAAAGAGGTTGTTCTTTGGTTATATATATTTTTCTCATTACAGTGCTGCAACTAATGAAGTTATTATTATTATTTTTTCCTATGCGAATTTCTTAATGGGAATGAACAAGCTCTCATTTGATAATTGCAGGCTGCTGGTTGCAGACGTGGTGCCGTGGTGGATTTGAATGCAAAGGAGGTTAATGAGAGCATTTAATAGCGCCTGGGATTTTCTGCTTTGTTCTTTAAATTGCGAAGACTTTAGCACTCAACTTATATGTATTAGGATTATCATATTACTACTACTCTGCTAAAGAACAGAATTTTAAAAAACCCTATAATTTATATGAACAATAAAGTTTTTTTTTAAAGAAATTATGTTTTAGTTTTTTTTTTAATTTTATTATTTATTATTTTATTGATCTTGAATTCATTATCATAATTTATTTTTAAGATGTTATTTATTTTTAAACAAATATCTTAATATTTAATTAATATTTAATTTTTACAAGAGTCGTGATGGACTATTATTAAAAGCTATATATATACACACACACTAGATGTGATGGACTATTATTAAAAGCTATATATACACACACACACGCTAGATGCTATGCCTACGTAATGTCGCAAGCTTGTGACGTATTTGTGCGTTGTTGGGAACTTGTAGAAAAAATCATAAAAAAATAAAAACAATTATATAGAAAAAAATTGTTACACTTTACAATGCAAAAAAATTATATAGAAAAAAATTGTTACATTTTACAATGCTTTCAAGAAAAAAAACTATAAAGCTAAATTTTTAATCAACTCAATATAAAAAAATAAAATCAAGAGAGATAATTTTGAGAAAAAATCATAAAAAACCATGTGGAGAAATACTGTAGCAATCCATAGTATTTTAAAAAAAAACTACAAAAATAAATTTTCAACCAACTCCGTATTAGAAAAATAAAATCAATAAAAACAATTCTAAAAAAACACAAAAAATGAAAAAAAGAAGAAGAAGAAGACAATTTTGGGGAAAAAAGCAAAAACAAATTAAAAAATATAAAAAAACATGTGGAAAAAGTTAAAGTTAAATTTTCAGCTCAATATTTAAAAAAATTAATAAAGATAATTTAAAAAAAAACATGTGGGAAAACATTGTAACAAAACAAAAATCATATAGAAAAACATTATAACAATTCACAGCGTTTTAAAGAAAAAATTTACTAAACAAAATTCTCAACCAGCTCATTATAAAAAAATAAAATTAACAAAGACTATTTTTAAAAAATCATAAAAAAATCATATAGGAAAACATTGTAATTATTCATAATAATTTTTTTAAAAATTACAATAAACATTGTAATTATTCATAATAATTTTTTAAAAAATTACAATACTAAATTTTCAAGTTCAATATTAAAAAAAAAAAACAAAGATAAATTTTAAAAAAATAAAAAACAAAAGAAGAAGATAATTTTGAAAAAAAATGTAAAACCCAAAAAAATATGAGGGAAAAAAATAAAAAAATATTGGAAAAAAAAAGAAAAATAAACAAAAAAAGACAAAACATAAAAAAATAAAAATAAATGACAAAACAACAAAAAACAAAAACACGGGGGGAAGTTATAGTATTTTTTTCATATGTTTTAAAATATTTGTTAATATAAATTTTATTTTTAAGGGATTAAATTTAAAAAATTAATTAATATAATAATAAGAGATAAAAGTAAAAAAATAAATTATTTATCGTTTTGTCTTCGATTTCCACTTCTTTGATTGTCACTGCAGAGAACAAAATTACCATTATACTTAAGGAATTCTCATTGTAACGAGCCTTGGTACACGATAAATAATTACGGAGCCAAATTCAAGAAACCCTGCAAAGAAATAAGTGAAATGGGTCCTTAATTTATGGTCATGCACAACTCTCTGTGTTTTTTTTTTTAAATGTAAACAGAAATGTTGAGCGATGCAAATGTTTTTTAAAATAAAAAAAGAAGTTTATAAAAAATTATGAAAAAAAAAGAAAATAATTTTATAAAAAAAAGAAAAGGAAAAAGAAAAACATTAACATTTAATTATTAAATAATTAAATATTGAAGGTTAGAGTTTAAATAAAAAATTTACCTTTAAAAAGAAATTGAATGTTGAAAGACCCTTAATAACTTTATAAAAAGTAAAAGATTCTTAATAACTTTATAAAAAATAAAATAAAATAACTTAAATTTTAATTTATAGTAAATAAAATAAGAGTGAGATAACACTGCACACATTGCAAGCATGTTTCTAATATTTTCGTAATATATTTTTTAAATTATCAAATAACCCCTAAATAAAAATAAGTTTTACCTGAGAAGCCATAATAAGAATATAAGAACATCCTTGGACGTAAGTACAAGATTTTTTTTTTATTTCAATAGTAATTCTATCATTTTACCGTGATATTAAAATTGAAAAAAACTAAAAAGTCTTTGTAATTTTTTATTTTTTTTATAATAAAGATTTTTGCCTCCTGAGTTTTACTTGGCTCTTATCTTTTCTTTTTTTTCATTAAAAAAGACTTACATTTACTAAGTCATGGACTAAGTCTTTTTTTTGTTTTTTACAATCCTGATGGTGCCACCTGGAAAGAGACAAAAGAAGTGGGTCCATGATTCGTTGTAATGCACGGATTCCATGATTCTCATTTAAAAATCAACCTCTGCGGCTCAGACTTTCAACATGGCGTGGGGGCGGGGGCACCACATCTTTTGAAAAGCTAAAAAGAAATCGATCGTTCGAGCTCCGGAGGTGATCGTGCGATATCTTCCACTCACCTGTTGAATCGAGCGATATCGTGCCGTGTCAGTGACCTTGGAAACTCATCATTGTCGCGTTTAAAAAAAAAAAAAAAAAACAAGAAACATGGCAATACGAGGATAAGATTCAAGAACCGCTCACGATCCGAATAAAAAAAAAATGACCTTATTTTGGTTTACCTATGAATATATATATATATATATGAGAGGGGGTGGGACGGAAGCTGCCCAGGAAGCCACGAGAAAAAGAAAGCTATTTTGGTCCATCTCTCTCTCTCTTTGTTTTTTTCTTTAAAAAATTATGCTTTTGAAATTAACTAACTTTAAGAAACGGGAATTAATTCTGGATATTGGGGGTGATAAAGTTTTAAACGGAGATTGTTTTTCAAATTGAAATTAAAAATAGAAACATATGTGATCTCTAAAAATACAATGGTTAAGCCATTTTTTTCTTTGGGTTGTCGAGAAACAGAAACAAAAACTAAACCGGACTGAGGAGAGTGGTTTTCTATTATTTGTTTTAAATTTATTATTTAACATCATATGTATTTTCCAATTTATTATATAAATCAAATTAAATTAGATTCGGAAGGACTCGATGGTTCCAAATTAAGGAGGAGGAGGAGAATCATCCTGGGGAGCACTCGCAGCTAAAGAGAACATGGATTGGTTGGCTTAAGGAAATGCACGTATTGCGAGCATTTACTTCACCTGCCATTCAAATCTGTGAGCATTGACACGCCCAGCATAGCGTTTCCTTGTGCATAGATTTTGGTTTTCTTGCTTGAGATGTTTGCAATCAGATGTTCATACGAGAGGAAGATCTCTTTGACGTTTCTCTAACCTTTCTCAAATCCAAGCACCAGTCTCAGGTACGATCAATACTGGTTAAGAGGACAAGTTACCTTATAAGTGGGTGTTCGGTAATTTGATGCATTATAACAACAAACGCCCAGAGATATTTGCAAATCTCACTCATGGGAATATCCTACTGTTCGCGGAGAGACGGAGCCGTACACAATCGTTTATTATATTAAAAATAAAAAAATATATTTTAATATATTTTCAATAAAAAATAAATATTATATACCTGTAGAAAACAAACAGAAGCGTCTATTTTTAAACGGAAATAGGTGCTACCTCTTGGATTAGTTGTCAATTCAAGAATAGAATAGGATACCTAATTTATGTGAATTATTAGGTGCAATGTCTTTTTATAGTCTAATAATTTGATCCCCGTGCTCTGCGTTCCACGCGATGAGTTAGATTACAAAAATTTTAAAAAGAAATAAAAATTATGTATTACTAAGTGTTTCTTAACCAAGAAAAATAATTTAATTGAAAATTAATTAATATATCCTTGGTACTGTGATGGTTGTTATTATAACGGTTTAGAAAAATAAGTTTTTACTTGTAGATATAAAAAAGCAAGTTTTCTAAAAATAAATATTTTATTAAAATTTCTGTGAAATAAATACAAATCTTAATTTCTATATAAATAAGATTTAAAATACAGTTATATATAAATTATGATAAAAAATAAAAATTATTTAGCTGATCGGATTTTTTTTTAATAATCAGGCCAAACACCAAATATTCAAATTGCATACACCACGGTACAAACAAGATAAAATTGAGTTTCACTTTTATTTATTTATTTGGAGAAGAGTGTACTTATGATTGTTTTTAAAATTATTTTTTAAATTAAAATATATATTAATAATTTTTTATTTTTAAAATTTATATATTAAAATAATTTAAAAATATATTAGTTTAAAATTAATAAAAAAATAAAAAACTTTAAATTATTTTAAAAATATTTTTAAAATATAAAAACAAACAAAAATTGAAAAGCAATCGCGCGAAACTTCCAGCATCCTCCACGATATCGTTCGGTCTATAGTGTAATAGAATAGTGACTTTGATGCTTTTTGTAAATGTGACGGTGATTATTTTTTAAAACGATGTGTTTACTTTTCCTCTTTCAAGGACGGCGTTTTTTTTAGCCGGGTCTGTCTTCGGGTATTTCCTTTCCTCTCTCTCTCTCTCTCGATCGATATATATTATATACATCACCAAAGGAAATCTCCCAAACACATGCTGGATGATCACGGGGAAGAGCATCCATACAAAAATGGGCGCGCAGAGGACTTCTTTGGTAGCAACTCAAAGAAAGTCATGCCTGGTACTGTGCATTAGAAGTGCCTTTCTTAATTGATGACTTTATCCTGGTTGATCCTTTTATCGTTGTTAAATATATATCTGTAGGCATTCTTCTGAATGGGGATCTGTATATATCAGAATTAGAGTGTAGTGTTCTTGTGTCTGCTTTCTTTTTGTTTGAATTTCTAACGATTTAAGCATTATTGCATACAGAAACGAAAAAAAAGTGACAAAAAAATAAGTAGGAGCATCAAAAGGATAAAAGCTGATATGATAGAGATCAGCGAGGGACAAAAACGCATAAGAGAGGGACAAAGGGAAGTCAGGGAAAAATTTCAAGAAATAAGTGAAGAGGCTGCTAAATTAAAAGAGGAGACTCATCTGATCTCCAAGCAGAGTGCCGCAAATGAACTCAGGCTTCATCTTATGTTCCAAATCATCAAAGCAAGAGCAGAGAATGATTATGCCAAGGACGCCCTACTCACTCAAAACTTACGGTTTGTCATTCTCTAGATTAATCCTTGTTCTTGTGTTTAAGAGCATGTTTAGTGCCCAGGAATTGATATCGTGAAATTGTTTTTTATTTATAAATAAATACATCAAAATTATATATATGAACAAAAACGATCTAAAAATTCTTAAAAAAAAATTATGCTATGATTTACTAACGTTTTCTTTGTTTAAATATTATGCTTTAGTGATCTAATGGGAAGCAAAGCCTTAGCATGAGCAAGCCCTCGTAGGAGAAGCAAGAACAGGGTTAGTGATTAACCCTGTTTCTTATGGCTCGTACTGCTCCCCCAAGAACTATATATCATATGGTGTTTCTACTCTGCAGTTCAATTTGCAATACATACGTTGTATGGATTTCTACGGGCCCTATTCAATTGTAATTTGTACCTCTTATTCCAATTGTCTACGTCCGAGTCCAAGGAGTTTTTCTTCTACTTTCATTTCTGTTTGTTATTACCATGTTTTTGTAAGAAAATAATTATGTTTTATATTCACGTCAGGAAGGTTATTATTATTTGATATTTTTTTGTAAGATTAAAAATACTCTTGAAAAACACTCGAAACCCAAATCATAAACACACCATTTATTTACATGAATGGCTTTAGGGAAATTCCCAAAAAAATTATTAAAGAAAATATTAAGATTGGATCATGCCGAAGGATCCATGCCTTCCCCCTTCACTCGCATTCCTGCAGTCAACTTTAAGGAGGGAACATGCGAGAAAAGAAAAATCTTGAGGTGAAACTTTAACATTTATAAACACAACAAAACAAATTAAGTCTTTGTTTTGGAGAAGAACAAGTAAAGAATCTCAAGTTTACGTACACCCGTTAAATCGTTCTCAAGTTTTATTAGAATATTCTATATGCCATGTTCTCTGTAAGGATTAGCTTGAGCTAAAGTCATGAAAGCTGATGAAATTAGCTAGAAGTTGATACCTGTTGCACAGATTTCAAATCTTTTATTAGATTTTAAATTTTTTATTATTACGCTACTTCTGTGTTATTATGCTACGTTTCTTATAAGATATTGAGACAATTGGAGTTTAAGATAGTGAGAAAATTGGAGTTTTACTCATTTTTTCAAGAGATAAGTTTTACTTGAATCCAAAAAAAAATTAGGCATAAAGATTCTGGTTTTTTAGTATTTTTCTAGATTATCTTGGATTTTCCCTCCTCATTCTCCTACTTTCTTAAGATTCTTTTTTCATTGCAAATTAAGTCAGTTAAATACCTATATAAATAGTTGACAGTTATAAGATATTTTTTCGAGGAGTTTTTCATAGGATATTATTTAGATCTTTGTTTATTTACTTGTGTGAAAATAACACAAGTCTAGAGTTCTCTCAAACCCTTCGCATTTTCTTGTCTTCCAGGTTTTTCCTTTAATCCTGATTTAATTATTTTAGGCTACATGGGTCTTTTGCAACAAATAAATTTGATGTTTGTTTACAGATTTTATATGTTTTTCTATTAAAAAATTATTTTGATAAATAAATTCATTAAACATGATAAGATAAAGTACTCTATTGCAATATTTTAATTTTTATTTGTCACTTAAGTTTTTATAGTGTCTCAGTACGAGGTTGGTATTTTATTTTGCGATCATATATTTTTTTATCATATAGTTTAATAAAAAATAATTTAAAAAAAAATTATAATCTCATTAAAATCTATAATTTGGTTTATAGGTTTGGCGTGTTAGCTCGGGTTACTTGATTTATAGGTTTGATAGTTCAGCCACTAACCATATATGCTTATTTGTGTTTTGATCCATTAATTGTTATTTGTTTTTTGATCCATTAATTATTTTTAATAGTTTTTTTGTATATCTTATCTTTCAATATTAGATTAGTTGGGAAATAAACTGTATGCTTTTATCATATAATTAAAAACATAAATTATTAAACTCGGTGAAATCTATGACACAATTTACTTGGGAACTGAGGCTGATCTAATTTGTTATTCTTTTAATAGTTTTTTTGAAAAATGTTATTATCTTGAAATTTTGTTAAAAGTTAACCTATGTTTTTAGTAGTCATCAAGATTGTATTTTGATCCATAAAATCAATCAATTTAATTGAGGCTAACTTCTGCACAATTTAGTTTAAACTCGAGATAGACAAAGAATTAGGTTGTGAGATTTTAAAATTGAACTATTAAATCAGGTTTAATAATAAAGTTAAAAACTCATTTGCACTTTTAATATTTTAAAAAATTTATCCTACTTGCGGTGAAGCGTTAACCAATATACTGGTGTTTTGCATGAGACAAAATATCAAGATCAAAATCATAACCTATATGGCTATAAGTGATGCATATTATACTATATTTGAGAAGGGGTGAGAAAAATACTATGCAGGTATTATGGACAAATATCTATTGTATTATGGACCACACTGTAGATGACATTAACACTTTGAAGGCATTGTCTTTTCTATTTATTAGTCATAAAATGCTGCTGGGTCTCGCTTGGCTACCAAGCCCAATACTATTAGATCCGACTAGTATCTAGACTCAATGGTATTAGGTTTAGCTCTCAATCAGACACATAAATCTTAGGTTTAACTCTTAATTAGACACATAAATCTTGGATTTGGCTGGATCGCCAGATATTTTCAATATTATTTTTTTTCCCTCTTTAGATTTTTTTTCTT